AATGAAGAGCAGTCAGTGGGAGTAGGATAATCTTTTCAATAACCAGTCCTGGGGCACCAGGGTGACTCAGTCAGTTAAGTGTCCAATTCTTGGTTTCAGCTCAGGTCATGATCTCATGGTTCATGACATCAAGCCCCATGTAGGGTGCTATGCTGACCCAGAGGCTGCTTGGGATCCTCTCTCTCTCTCTCTTTCTCTCTCTCTCTCTCTGCTCCTCCCTCACTCATGCTCTCTCTCTCTCTCTCTCTCTCTCTCTCTCAAAATAAATACATAAACTAAAAAATGTTTTAAAAAATGGCCATTTTTTAATTTAAAAATTGGATAAATTTAAAATTGGATAGCCAAGTGGGGGAGGGGAGGAATGAAACTTGACCTCTGCCTCACATTATACACAAAATCCATTTTCAAGTGGATTGTAGATCTAAACGTGAAAGCCAAACTATAAAGCTTTTAGGAAATAATATACAAGAAAATCTTCACGATCTTGAAGTAGAGAATGAGTCCTTAAATAGGAAACAAAGCCAGCCAAGAAAGGTCTTACTTGAACTACATTAAAATTATAAACCTCCATGAAACATGAAACACTAAGTCACAGAACAGGAGAGTGTACATACTACTTATGCAACTGACAACTAGTACGCTGAACATACGAATTAAAATCATTAAGGAAAAGAAAAAACAGAAGAAAAATGAGGAAAAGACGGTGGGGGGGTATATCATAAGATACTCAACCTCATTTAAACTTAGGAATGAGCAAATTAATACCAAAAAGACATTACACACCAGTAACTTGGCAAAAATTAGACCGATAACAATAAACATAGGTGGAAAATCTGAGAACACTAGACATACATATTCTGCTATGAAAATTCTGATACTTTAGATCATTCCAAACTTTTTCCAGCAACTGCATCCTCTTTTCATATGACAGTACAAATTGGTACAATCACCTTAGAAAAGTTTGCCATTATTCTATTCAAGTTGAAGATATAGATATCCTAAAACCCAGCCATTTGCTCAGAGGTATATATACTAGTCTCCAGGACCTAGAGAAATTCATGGACATGTACAACAATGTTCTTAGCAGGCGTGTTAATAATAGTGTCAAACTATAAATAATCCAAATAATCCAACCCATTAGCACTAGAGTGAATACGTAATTAGTGGTATATGTTCATAAATGGCATCCTATATAGTAAAAAAATTGATGAATTCGATACATGCCATAGCATAAAGAGAATGCAACATATAAAAACTACATACAGCCTAATTTCATTTATATGATGTTCAAAAACAGGCAAAACTAAACTATATCATTTAAGGATGCATAAATAGCTGAGAAAACTAAAGAAAACCAAAGAGAGGATTATTACAAAAATAAGCTTTATAATTACTTCTGGGGGAAGGGAGTGGTCTGTAAGAAGGGGCCAAGGGAAGGCTTATAAGGGTCCAGAAATGCTCTTTCTTCAATTGAGTTTGGTTAAACAGATGTTAACTTTATAACTGCTTATTAAACTGTACATGTTTTATGTGTTTATATTTATCTCAGCAATCACCCACTACACATACCACACCACACCAACGCCACACACACACACGCATGCATGCGCAGCACTCATTGATCTCTCCAACAAAATTGTAGCTGTTATCTTGGGATAAGAATCCCTTTCCCATTTTTACACTTAGCAAATTTTCACTGATAAACAAACATTAATTTTAAAAATGGGAGTAAAGGCCTTCTCCCAAATGGCATAATGAACACTGCAGAAAAATTAGAGCAGCTTATGTTTATTGAATGCCTTTTGTGCAACCCAGTATCCTATACTCTTCATACACATTAACTCATTTAAGATTAAAAACAACTCTAGAGTGTTTTCCAGAGGCAGTTGCCTGGGGTCGCACAATTGTAAATGTGAGAGCTAATCTGTCCAAGTCTGAATGGAACTTTCCCCACTATTCTACACAAATCCCAATAGCTGAGAAAGTTTGTTTACTATGCACCTATTCACCTTCCCCTTACAATGTTCTGTAGCGTTTTCTTCATCTGATATTTAATTCATTCATTTATTCATCAAATACTTATTTAGTACCTGCTATATCCCAGATCCCGTTCCATATATAAGATATACTAAAGGACAAGAAGGGAGAGGGGGAAAAATTATAAAGAAAGAAAGAAAGAAAGAAAGAAAGAAAGAAAGAAAGAAAGCAAGCAAGCAAGCAAGCAAGCAAGCAAGCAAAGGAGGAAAAGATATGACAAAGTCCAAGCTTACATTTTAGTAGGGGACACAGATAATAAATAATTTCAGATAGTAATCCATTCTATGAAGAAAACAAAACAATGGGACAGTGATTGGGGATAGTAGAAACATTTGGGCTGAGATATGAATACTAAATAAGCCATGCAAACTACTGGAAGGGGTTCCAGGCAGTGGCAGCTGTAAACATCAAAGCCCGGTAAGGAGAATGAGCCTTGGCATATCCAATGAATAGAAGAAGTAGAAGGCCACTATGCCTATAGTATGGTAGGCAAAGAGGACAGATGGTGTATCTTGCAGGTCAGTCCAAGCAAAGAATTTAGATTCCATTTTTGATGCAATGGGAAGTCACTGGAGGATTTTAAGCAAGGAATGTCACAGTACAATTTATCTTTTAAAAAAAACCAGCTTGGGATCTATGTCAAGAAAAGGCTTTGAGGGAGCAAGGGTTGGGAAATGGCAAGAGTGGAAGTGGGAAGACATTAGGTTTTAGTAAGAAATCCAGGGAGGAGATGAAGGAGCTTGAACTGGAGTGATAGCAATCAAAATGGAGAGAAGTGTTCATCTTTCAGATCTATTCTGAGGGGAGATAAGATAACTGAGTGTCTATTTCTTCATTAAGTAACCATTCGCTGCATGCTGTAATACATAAGGCATGTTCTAGGTGCTGGGGACACAGAACTGAACAAGACAGATGGGATTCCTGACTTCAAGGAACTTAAATATTACATATTGCAATGGAGGAAACAGACATTTAATAGGTAAATAAAAATATAAAGTCAGATAATAAGTGTTATGATGAAAAACAAAGAATGATAGAAGTGGGGTAACATTTTAGGTAAGTCAATGAAAGACTGTATAACATGTGACACTTAAGCACAGACTTAAAGTGAAGCACAAATAACATGAGTCTGGGGAGTAAAGCACTCCAGAGAGAGGGAACAGCAAAGAAAGACCTTGAGGTGAGAATGTGCTTACACTGTGAGTGGAACAGCAGAGCAAATGCAGCTACAGCAGGATGAGTAAGTCAGAGAGCAGCAGAGGAGGCACAAAATGTGGCGAGGACGGGTCCTATAAAGCCAAGAGGTCAGAGAAAATTCTAAATTGTGTTTAAAGTGTGGTGAAAAGTCATGAGAGTTGAGAACTGGGGAGGGATACCTGATTCACATTTTAGAAAGGTCATTCTGACTACTTTTTTGAACTGTTGAAGAGTAAGTAATATGAAAAGAGAGATAACAGAGACTTCAACTAGAGTACTTCTAGGAGAGATGTGAAGTCGGATAGGTTGTAGAGAAATCTGCTAAACTGAATAGGATTTGCTGTATTAAGTTTAGAATATGAAAATCATGTCAAAGAGGATTCCTGGGGTTTGGGCTTAAGGGACTAGAGGGCTGAATGTAACATTTACTAGGATGGGAGGAACTAGGGAGGAATGGGTTGTAGGACTGGGACCAAACGTTGGTTTTGGTCATGTGTTCACTATTAGTCAAGTGGAAATTGTCAGCTTGGCTATGGCTGTAAAAGTCTGGAACTCAGGGAAGAGGTCAAAACCTGAGATAACTTTTTTTTGAGAGTTACTAATGACAAGTTCTCAAGAAGAAAATTCCTTTCATGTTTGAGATTTTACTGGCTCAATTCATCAGAGCTACCTATTGGTTCAAATTTATTTCTCCTATGGGTATACTGCAGCAATACAATTTACCAGTATACACTAATAATGATAAAACTCTAACCATAAAACTTCATGTTCTTAGCAGACTAAGATGATTAATTTTATAAATTACCAAGAAAAAGGAATACAGGCCCCAACCTAATACATTCAAAAATTAATATAAATTTTATCAGAAAAACAAAGTCTTAGTAAATCTAGCAGATCTATTTCTGTCACAGCTCCTTTCTTTCTCCCTCCTCTATTATTCCCTACCACCTAGAAGCTTGGTCACCAATAAGTCCACAGAGTTAGCTCTTCATTTTCAAAATAAAATTTATTTCTTTAATAAAGAATTAAAATATGGCTGTGAAAGTAGAAAATAATATAGAAAAATATTTAAAATGTGCAATAGTAATTTTAGAGTAAAGGTAGTTAAGCATTAGAGTTTATGCTCAACTTCTACTTGAAAGACCGACCAGTATTATATATATTATTAACCACACTGGAAAAAAAATACCTACTTGCAATTTTAATTAACAGTTATAATTCAAAAACAGATTTATATACTTGGTCATGCCCTTGTGAAAACAGAAGTACAAATCTTGAGGATATATTTTTTGAAGTTGGTTTCACTTTATAGGCTGATAAATCTACTGTCCAAAAGTTACAGGGATTGCTTTTATTACAAATCCATCCATATAACTAAATCAACATGAAGGAAACATGTACTTTTTGGATGAAACCAAATGTTTTGTTAACAATGCGGCAAGAATATCATCTTTCGTTACATTGGTATAAAAGCTGGTAAGCTCATGTATTCCCAAAGTATGGTTTCCATCACATGTAGACACTAAACACAAGATGAAGAAATATCTAATGAATTCTATCCATTCGTTCCCCAAATCTTTAGTTACAGTGAAGATACAGGTATTGTTTGTATGCAGGACATACAAAAAGAATTGGAAAATGTTTGGCTAGAGGGAAGACAACTCTTCAGGGACTAATGTTTGCAGTTTGCAGAATAGGATAATCTTCTCTAGGAAGAATAATGTCAACATAGCAGCACTATATTCACCAGGAATCCAATGGATCTCTCATGTGGCAGGAAGCCAAACCTTCTGGCTACTCACAACATCACTCAGTTTCCCTTTAATCTTCAGGAAGTGTCTCTTGAATTCCAATCCGTCACCCTATATTAGGAATAATATCCAAAAAAAAAAAAGTCAAAAAAAGAGACTGCCATAAAATCAAACTTTCTTTTTTTTTTTTTTTTAATTTTTTTTTTTTCAACGTTTATTTATTTTTGGGACAGAGAGAGACAGAGCATGAACGGGGGAGGGGCAGAGAGAGAGGGAGACACAGAATCGGAAACAGGCTCCAGGCTCTGAGCCATCAGCCCAGAGCCTGACGCAGGGCTCGAACTCACGGACCGCGAGATCGTGACCTGGCTGAAGTCGGACGCTTAACCGACTGCGCCACCCAGGCGCCCCCAAACTTTCTTTAGTGGTAACTAAAGGCAAATATCCTTAGGTATGTCCAGCTACAATTCCCTTCAGGTCTTCTTATGAAGACCAAATATTCTCGAAGAAATGGCTACATAAATAATTCCAACTTGATTTTGGGCCCATCACTGTTCCCACTACACTGGGCTCAGAGAGCAGAAACAATGGCAGCTTGTCTGTTTCAAGCATTGGTAACTCTGGACCTAAGTCACTGTTTTCCATAGGCACTGGGGGTTGGTAAACTAAAATTAAGCCACACAACTACACTGAAATCTTGCCAAAATACTGTGGCAACAAAGCCAGTCGTTCAGTTATGAGAAAGATTTCACTACAGTAGGATCTTAATAATTTAATTCCATACTAAGCATCTAACAGCAAAGCTCCAATTTCAGAATGTGACCTATTTCTCCAACCTCCTTTAGAGCCATGTACAACCTCTCAGGAAATAGAGAAAATGCTATTTTGGTCTTCTATCAGAATGAGTAATCTCTAAAGAAATAACCAGAAATGTGAACAAAACTCTATGTACATGAACATTAATCACAGACTTACTTATGACAGATAAAGATTCATTAATGATATTGTACATTTTGACAAACATATAATTGTAATTAAAAAGATGTATTTGGATTCAATAAGAAAAAGTTTAGAATGCTTTTTTTTTGAAGTTTATTTATTTTGAGAGAGAGAGAGAGAGAGAGAGAGAACATAAACAGGGGAGAGGCAGAAACAGAAGGAGAGAGAGAATCACAAGCAGGCACTGAGCTGTCAGAACAGAATCCGATACGGGGCTCAAACTCCTGAAGGGTGAGATCATGACTGAGCTGAAATCAAGAGCCAGACACTCAACCAACTGAGCCAACCCAGGTGCCCCAAAGCTTAGAATGCTCTAAAATAATCAGGGTAATTACTGGTGGGTAGCATAATTTAGGATTATTTTTATTTCATTTTTACTTATTTACATTTTCTACAAAAAAGACTTTGTTTTAGAAGAATGACAAGAATGAATGCTCATAACATTGAATGAGAAGCAAGTTACTATATTTTACACATGCCATGTAAATACAAATAAATGGCATTAAAAAAAAAATCTCTACGTAAGAGTATTTGCATAGAATACATACTAAAGAAGTAGTAAGACTACTATAATATAGTAAAAAATAAGTCTCTGTTCTCTCTGGATGACAAGATTAAACTTGATTTTTATTTTCTCCGCTATATGTTTTCATATTTTTTAGGTTTCTACAACGAACACATAATACTTCTCTAACAAAAGCAAAACAAAGTTTTTTTAAAAAATGTGCTATTCTAGGGGCACCTGGGTGGCTCAGCTGATTAAGCATCTGACTCTTGATTTTAGTTCAGCACACTCTGTCTCTCAAAAAAAAAAAGTGCTGTTCTACATACCTTAGATAGCCGAAAGTCAACCAAGATCTTCTCATCCATTTCTACCAAATTCACTTTGAAAATCAGTTTATTGTTTCTCCTATCAGTTGTTGATACAGTAACCTAAGGCAATAAAAATCAGGTTAGTCCAAATTACAAAAATATCTATAATAATTCTCACTTCAAGGAATGACTATAAAAAATACACTGGTGTACCACAATTATGCAAAACTAGAACAACACATCATGTTCTGGAAAAATACAAAACACATACATTGCTGCTGGGAATGTAAATGGTGCAGCTGCTTTGGTAAACCACTTGGCAGCTCCTCAAAAAGTCAAACGTAGAGTTACTCTATGCTTTAGCAATTCTATTAGCAGGTATAGAGCTAAGAAATTGAAAACATTGTTATGGGTGCAATTGTGTCCTCTCAAAATTCGTATGTTGAAGCCCTAACTCTTTAGAATACGATTATATTTGAAGACTGGGCATTTAAAAAGGTAATTAAGTTAAAAATGAGACCATTAGGTGGGCCCTAATGCAATATGACTGGTGTCTTTGTAAGAAAAAAAAGTTAGCATACATAGGTACCGGGTATGCATGCACACAGAGGAAAGACCATTTGAAAGCCAAGAAGAGAAGCCTCCAAGGAAGCCAACCCTGCTGGCACCTTGATCTTGGACTCCAGTCTCTGGAATCATGAGAAAACAAATTTCTGTTGTTTAAGCACCCAGTCTCTGCTGTTTTGTTATGACAGCCCTGGCAAACTAAAACACATGTAAATTCATATAAAAACTTGTATAAGGGGCGCCTGGGTGGCTCAGTTAGTTAAGTGTCCAACCTGGGCCCAGGTCATGATCTCACAGATCATGAGTTCGAGCCCCACGTCGGGCTCTGTACCGACAGCTCGGAGCCTGCAGCCTGCTTCATCTGTGTCTCCCTCTCTCTGCCCCTCCCCAGCTCGTGCTCTGTCTCTGTTCTCTCAAAAATAAATAAACGTTACAAAAAAATTTTTTTAACGTATGTAGCAGCATTATTCATATAATAGCCTATAAGTAGAAACATCCCAAATGTCCATCAACAGGAAAATGGACAAATAAAATGTAGTCTTCTATCCACATAATGGAATATTATTTGCCCATAAAAAGGAATGAAGTAGTAATGAATGTAAACAACACAGATTATCCCTGAAAACATGCTAAGTAAAATAACACAGACACAAAGAGCCATTTATATGACATTATATGACTCCACTTATATGAACCATCCAGAATAGGCAGTCCACAAAGACAGAAAGTAAATCAGTGGCTGCCAGGGAATGAAGGGAGGGAAGAATGAGGAGTGACCACTAATTGGTACAAAGTTTATTTTGAGGGCAATGGAATGTTCTGGAATTAAGTAATGATAATAGCACAATCTTGTGAATACACCAAAACCACAAAATTGTACAATTTAAAATGGTTAAAGTGATGATTTTTATGTTATGTGAGTTTTATCTCAATAAATCTACCTGACCAAAAAAAAGTAAGTTACCCCACACAAGGGAGAGGAAAATCAGACTGGCCTCACATTTCTGCATAGTAACAATTTCCCTTAACTTTTAATTTTGAAAGCTTACAAATCTACAAAACAACTGAAAGAATCTACAATAAATAACCATATATCCTTCATTGATTTTATCAACCTAGATAAGTATATGTTTACTTGTCTTTTTTGTGTGTTTTTTTAAGTTTTTCAACCAAGCTATAGAAGACATACACTTCACTTCAACATATTTCTCCTATGAACACATTCGCCTACAAACCACGATATTATGATAACACCCAAGAAATTTGACACCGATACAAAAACAATATCTAATATAAAAACCATATTAAATTTCTCCAATCATCCCAATAACACTCTTTAAAGCTTTTTTCCCCCTTTAAATCCATGATCTAGTGAAAGATCATGCATTACATTATTTATCAGGCTTCTTTAATACATAATATTCCCCTCATGTTGTTTTTCATGACATTAAAGTTTTTGAAAAACCTAAAGACAGATTAGAATTTCAATGATACAGGGGCTCCTGGGTAGCTCAGTCAGTTAAGTGTCTGACTTTCGTTCGTGAGTTTGAGCCCTGCATAGGGCTGTGCTGACAGCTCAGAGTCTGGAGCCTGCTTTGAGTTCTATTTCCCTCTTTCTCTCTGTCCCTCCCCTGCTCACACTCTGTCTCTCTTAAAAATAAATAAACATTAAAAAAAAATTAAAAAATAAAGAATTTCAATGATACAAATATGCCATAATAACATAAACAACAAAAACTGGTAGGTGGGAGCAGGGGAGGTGGAAGAAATATGGGATTGTTAATGTATTCATCTTTCATAAAGGTAATCTTTGTTACTGTTACAATTTAAGTATATGTAGTTTTTAAGAAAATAATGACTTGAGTCAGTATTTTTAATAACCTCAGAGAAGACTTTCAATATTATTTAAGGTAAACAACATTTTACTTAAATCTTTTGAATTTCAATTGTTTCTTTTTTGAAAATATACTGATAATGATCTTTTTTACTCAAATATTTACATTTTTCTTTAGGAAAATCAATGAAACATACCTGATTCATACAGCTCTTTTTCCATTGATAGCCCAGTTTCTCACAAGTCTCTTTCAGGCATTGGTAAGATTTGTCTGCATCCAATTTGGTAAAAAACCGTGTCATTCTTTTAACCAAGCGCTGCCAAGGGTTCTACATGTCAAACAGAGGAGACCTGAATAAATCTGGTATCACCAAAAGCAGTCATATCACAACTAATTGGTCTGAAAATTCTCTTCTGTGACTTAAGATTCTTATACATCAAAGTATCTTCTAATTCTTCCTTCCTTTGCAAAAAAAAAAAAAAATCTGTATATGTTAAAGTGTTAATACAACATTTCTAAGATTTATACATTAAAAAAAAGGCTTTATGATAAAAAACTAGAGGGTTTTCATTATTTATTTGAAAAACTAAATTCCCTTACCTGTGAGGATCCTGGGGTGCCAAGTAACTGACTATTCAGGAGCATATGATCAGGACATGTGGGCTGGGAAAAACTGATCCCTTGTACCAGTTTATCAATATATGAAGGACTGGTGTCCCATAAGGAAAGACCTGTCCGTGGTTCTGGTTGGGAACTGGAGTACTTCACATTTTCTTCACTGAGGCATTGAGATACGGGGAAAATATATATTTTTAGATAAAATCAATCTGGCCTTTCTTATATCACATTACCATTCTCACACTGATAAACATTACATTCACTATTAAGAAAAAAAAAAATATGTATATGCATTACTTCTTATGGGAGTACTACATTCAACAACTATTTGATCTTTGCTGATTTATCTTACCTAGAAGCACTGTTCACTGGAGAGAAGTCCAAATTGGATTGAATGTGCTTAGAAAATCCACTAGGAGACTCTGATATACCACCTGAAGTGACTCGGGGCCTCTTTGCCCCTAAAAAACAGAAAACATAAATACAAATATTTTCAAGTCTCCTAAGCAATGTTCTTCAACTAACCCCACTGGAAAATTCAAGAAGTAAAAACACATCTAAATCCATGTACTTAAAGCAAAATAGTTATATAAGACAAATAGTGGCTCTTTGTACATGATTACAAAAGAAATATGATCATTATAAACTTATGAGAACTCACTTATCAAATTACACCTTTCACAAATCCTGACCTGGAAGCATGTTCCAAGTATGGGGTTAAGGCCACAATTTTAATGGTACCATTTATGGTAAAAGATCAGTGTTCTACGAAGACAAAGAGACCTAGCTAAAAAACCAAAACTTTTAAAAATAGAAAACAATTTATGACAGTGGTGATAAATATTATGAATCTGCTCTATCCAACATTCTTTGCTCCCTGGAAAAGCTTTACCAAGAATAATCATTATACAGAAAATGATGCCACTATAAATTCATTGGTTACTACCATCAGCTGAATCTTCAACACTGTGTTTCTCTAGTTAGTTTCCTCTCCCTTTCTACACAATGATCTCTTCAAAACTTCTATACTCTTGTCAAATTCCCATAACGACCCACCCCCACCACCTCACTTCTTCGCATTCGATACCATCTCCAACTGCACAAAGAAAATAAGTCATTAGAAACTCCCTCAATTTGCCACTACTAAATCTGTCAATTTACTTGCACTGCTACCCATCCTTCCCTCTTCCATGCTCCCATAAAATGTTCATCTCTGTACTTGTACGTGAGCCTATGCCCTCCTATCTCAGGGGGTCTTGATGCTCCTTCATTCCTTCTCTCTTGACCTTCAGCCTCCTCCTCTCAACTGGAACGGTCCCCAAATCATTTAAACACACACACATTTAGCTGAACATTTTATTTACTAATTCATTCAAATATTTTATTTTATTAAGCCTACTATACATCAGGCAGTAAGAGGAAAGAAACAGCATGCTGGTATGCTGATGAGAAAGCAGTAGAGAGGGAAAAATTAATGATGCAGGAGGAAGACAAAAGAATTGTCTCTGAATAGGCAAAAGAGAAATGGGCCTAGTGCATAAGAGAGAGAGCTAGTATATATCTGGAGCAGACAATTTATTCATAGCAACAAAGGAGAAAGCAGAATATATGAGCACAGAGGCAGCTGGTTAGGTGGCTGGAGATGGTGATGGGAGCTTATGGAAGTTGCCTTATGATTGTTTCTATTTCCCAGTGAAATAGGAAGTGAGAGTGAGGATGGGGAAGGAGGTGCTAGAAGTTGAAAAACAAAAAAAAAGGTATACAAATGTGACTTAGAAGACCGAGGTTGTGAAAGAAGTAGGGAAATGTATTATAATTGCCTGGCAAAATTAAGGGCTCACTTGAGATCAGTGATCCTGAATTTAAAGTGAACATTGTTGTGTATTTTGGTCCAGGTGCAATCAGCTGTGCAGGTGTAAGTACAGAGCAGGTAGAAAACTGGATTAAAATTGGATTAGGTTTTGTCCAATAAGCATGATGAAGAGAGAATAGGGCAGGAACGCTGAAGCTGAAAGTAAAGAAGTCATTACAATGACTGACCTTGGGATATAAAGTAGTGACGATGGAACTGAGGACCTAGGGAGGGGACAAGTAAGAGATAGTGAAAAGGAAGTAGAATTAATGGACTTCAAGTCTAGGTAGGGTCAAAGGATTGTTGAAGTCAGGGTACTAGAGGAGGAAGCCAGAAAAAAAATATGCCAGTAGTCAAAGCAGTATGTCTGAAGAGAAGATCACTAGAGAGAAGGTAAAGGAAATATGAAATCAGGATATTCGAAGGGTCATCCAAATGAATATTTAAATCACCAAGAGCCATGACAAAATGTACAAGAGTCACGTTAGAGAGAGTGACAATGTGGCAGGAGTTTTAAATGGGGGTTCAGAAACTGATTATCACAAGGAGGGAACATTAGGAAGTAGTCTGATAATATGAGATTCAAAATGAAGAGGGGAGAAATATGAGAAAAAGGGAGAAAGTAGAAATGAAGGACAAAAAGGATGCCTGCCCCACTCCCAGATTCAAGGGTAGGAGTGTGTGGGAAAGAAAACATCACCACTTGAGGGGAAGCTGTGTTCTCAGGAGAGAGCTTGAGTTCAATTAAAACAAAGGGAAAAGGGAAAAGACACATTCAGAGAAGAGTTAAAAACTCCTCACTTATCTTTAGCCATTCTCTCCTCCCATTCACAGCCAGACTTCTTGAATGAGCTGTCTATACTCTGCTTCATTATCTCTCTTTTAGACTATAATCATTGCACTATCAAGTAAAATTACTCCTAGCCTTTCACCAAACCTGTTCCTGCCATGATCATGAATAACTACTGGGCAAATTTTCAGGCTTCATGTTATTAATTCACTTAACAGTGTTTGCTACTATCACACATTTTCTTCTGTTGGCCTCACTTTTTTCATATTCTCCAGATGTTCCTCCCATCTCTTTGGCTACTTTTCTGTGTCCCTGGCCTCTACTTACCACTTAAATGTTGACATTCCTTAAGATTTCATATACTTAATTTCATCTACCAGTTTAAATTATCATCTATTTGCAGAAAACAACTAAATATTGACATCTCAAGCCTGGTCCTGTCTCCTGAGTTACACACACACACACACACACACACACACACACACACACACACACACACTTATTAGACAGTTTTATTTCTCAAAATCAACATGTCCAAAGCCAAATAAAATTTCTCCCCAATTCTGTTTTTCCTAAGTTATATCCCAGTAAATGGCATCACCATTTTTTGAGTTTGTCACCCCAGAAGAGTCATCCCGGATTCCTAATTCTCTTTCATTTTCTACATATAAACAATTACCAGTCCTATCAATTCTAGTTTGTAAGTTTCTTTGGCATCTACCTCTTCCTTCCAAATCCATTGCTACTAACCCAATCCAAGGTACCATCTTCTCACATCTAGGATAAAAAATTTCAAAAACAATGGGAAAAAAAAAAAGTAGGCAGAAGGACCTTTTAAAACCAAATATACGATCGTGTCATTTCCTTGCTTCCTCAATGGCCTTAAGTTAAAGCCCAAAATCCTCAACATGGTTTACAAGGTCCTCCTTCACACTTCGGTCACTATCTACTTCATTTCAAACCTCTCTCCCTCTCCCCCTTCTCTATTCACTCATTTAGTCAACAAACATTTACTGAGAGCCTACAATTACCACACATCATGCTAACGACTAATGACTTAAAATGACAAGTCAGACATGGTCCATGCCATACTGGTCTTCTTTCAAGTTCCTCAAATGTATCACCTTCCAAACTCTAAGACTCTCTAAATGTCGCTTTCTCTGTTCAGAATCTGCCACTCATCTTGCTAGTACTCATCTGGCTAGGTCCCTTTTAATCTTCGGTTCTTAGACTTAATGTGATTTCCTCAGGAAGACAAGTCTTCTAAGTCACTTAAGACTTGGTCAAACACTTAGCTATAGTACTCTGCTTTTCCACTTTATTAACAAACTTAAAATTATTTTTTGTATTTCTATTTTTCCTACTACACATTATAACCTACATAAGGACAGAGACCATAGGTATCCTGTATTGTTGATTTGTGATACTGAATGCAAGTGCCTTTTCTTTCACAGAAAAAAATACTTGTATTTTAAGGATATTACCTTTCTTGAGAGGTTTGTTGTACCATCTATCTTTTTTGATGTCTGGAATGGTAATCCTTACTGATGGATTCTCAACTAGGATTTTATGCAGCAAAGCTAAAAATAAAATATTAAGACAACATTTACAAAAGAGACATGCAAATTAGAAACTTGTACTGTGGAATATATTCTCTGTTGATCTCCTTATATCCAAATATTATTTCCAGGGAGGAGAAAGAATAAAGCTACTTAATTATTGCTTTAATTTCACGCATTTGCTCTTTGCTACTGTCTGTATCTGAGAACGCCATTCCCAGATCTGATGCTCAGTTGTCTGCAAACAAGTAAAGCAAGAACCAGGTGGAAATGTTTCTCCCCACTTGACAACATTAACAAAAAGATTTAAAAACCCTCATCCATTTTCAACACCAAACTCCAGTGTGCCAATATGTCAAGTTACATCCTCATTCACACAGTTTTATAAAGAAAAATCACTTTCTAGTAACTTTTTAAGAGATAGTAATATAAGTAACTGTCATCCTAAAGTACCTTAATTATTTTGATAAAGAACTCATACATCTCCCAAAAACCAAAATTATTTTCTTTTTTTTATTCAGGTTTTTTTGTTTATTTGAGAGATACAGAGACAACATGAGCAGGTAAGGGGCAAAGAGAGAGGGAGAGAGAATCCCAAGCAGACTCTGCACTGTCAGTGCAGAGCCCAATGCTGGGTTTGAACTCATGAACCGTGAGATCATGACCTGAGTCGAAACCAAGTGTCTGCCGCTTAACCGACTGAGCCACCTAGGCACCCCCAAAATTATTTTTTTTTCAATATATGAAGTTTATTGTCAAATTGGTTTCCATACAACACCCAGTGCTCATCCCAAAAGGTGCCCTCCTCAATACCCATCACCCACCCTCCCCTCCCTCCCACCTCCCATCAACCCTCAGTTTGTTCTCAGTTTTTTAAGAGTCTCTTATGCTTTTGTTCTCTCCCACTCTAACCTCCTCCAAAATTATTTTCTAATGGACCAAAGACTTAAATGAAAAACTGAAGGTATAAAAACACAAATGAGGGGTGTCCCCCTGGCTGGCTCAGTCAGTAAAGCATGCAATTCCTGATCTCAGAATTATGAGTTCAAGCCCCACACTGGGCATGGAACCTACATAAAAAATAAACTAAGGGATGCCTGAGTTGCTCAGTTGGTTAAATGTCCAACTTTTGGTTTCGGCTCAGGTAGTGATCTCATGGTTTTGAGTTCCAGCCCCACTGTGGGCTCTGTGCTGACAGCTCAGAGCCTGAAGCCTGCTTCAGATTCTGTGTCTCCCTCTCTCTCTCTACCCTTCCCCCATTCGCACTCTCTCTCAAAATAAACATTAAAAAAAAACACACACACATATGAAAACACAGGAATTTTCTTCTAAAGTTAGGGGTGGGGAAGACCTTGCCAAACATAACAATACAGTCAGAAAACCACAAAGGACAAAATAATAGATTTGAATAAATAAAAATATAAAACTTCTGCACATGAAAATAGCATAAACAAAATAAAAATGCATGGCAAATTGTGAAAAATATTTGTAACAAATGCAAAGATCTAATGACATTAATGTTTTAAAAAATTCAAAGTAATAAGAAAACCTCCCTGCCAAAAAGTGAGTAAAATAAACCATCCACAAAAACAGGCAAAAAGCTAATAATCAAATATTTTTAAAAATATATAAACCAATGAGACTGTGGTAAAATGGTACAAACTTTCTGAAAAGTAATTTGGCAAAGTAAACCATAATAATTTAAAACTGCATACATCCTAGGGGCACCAAAGTGGCTTAGTCAGTTAAACGACTGACTCTTGATTTCAGCTCAGGTCATGATCTCATGGTTAGCCTCACACCAGGCTCTATGCTGATGGTGCAAACCCTGCTGGGATTCTCTCTCTCCCTCTCTCTGCCCCTTCTCACAAACATGTGTTCACTCTCTCTCTCTCAAAATAAATATTTAAAAAAAAAAGAACAAAAAACCTGTATACATCCTTGATATTTCTGGATTTGCTTTTTAATTAAATGATTTACAGTATGTGCATTACAGGGATGATCACTGGATCTCTTTCATAAGTAAAAATTTTTTTTAAATATAAGTCTTTGAAACAGTGAATTGGATGCATATAGTAAGACATATCCACATAGCAAAATACCATCACAGCTTTCATTTATAAAAATGAGACAGACCTACAACTATAGTCATGGAAAAATGTACTTGACTATAGCATTAAGACAAAAAAAACCAAGTTATAAAATAGCATGTGTAGTATGATCTTATTTTTTGTAAAAACACACACACTTATATACATATACAAAAAACATATACTTGCTATTTATTTTTACAACAAAGTGTAGAACTATATATCGAAACATTAATAGAAGTTAATGTTCTATTAACTTTTCTAATGGACCAAAGACTTAAATGAAAAACTGAAGGTATAAAAACACGAGTGCTCAGTGCTGGGATTATAGGGTTTTAAAAAATTGTTATTTTCTAATCTATCTGCAAGGATCACAGACTATTTATGTGATTATTTAAAAGTTAAAAAGAGGGGTGCCTGGGTGGCGCAGTCGGTTAAGCGTCGAACTTCAGCCAGGTCACGATCTCGCGGTCCGGGAGTTCGAGCCCCACGTCGGGCTCTGGGCTGATGGCTCGGAGCCTGGAGCCTGTTTCCGATTCTGTGTCTCCCTCTCTCTCTGCCCCTCCCCCGTTCATGCTCTGTCTTTCTCTGTCCCAAAAATAAATAAACGTTGAAAAAAAAAAAATTAAAAAAAAAAAGTTAAAAAAAAAATTTATAAGAAAAAAATTCAAACAGCACTAGTCTTCATTATCCAAGAAATCAGTGCTTTCAATCAACATAACCCAGTTACCTAGAGGAGCAGAATCAATTTTTTTCCAAGGGTTGAGGTATGTTTTTTTTTCTTTCCAATCAGAATATTCCTGACAACTGTCACTGGGCTGGTCCCATGGCAATTCTAAAAAAGAAACAAGTCCCAGTTTTCTGAGTGTTCATGTCATTATATAGTAAAGATTTTAAAGGAAAATAATCAGTGATACAAATCCATTAAATGTTTCCTCCAAATTAATTCAATATGGTTTTCAAACTAAGAATGCTAACTCATAGAAATTTTAGAGGCACCTCAAAGACAGATGAACTACTTCTGCCCTACTCTTTCCAAAATTATTCACATGAATTTTAAAAGAGGTTGCTATCGTGATATTTCATTTAGTAGCTCTACATAAAACTGATTTTTAAAAAGCTTTGACATTAAAAGTTCCAACTTAGTTATAAATAAGTTTACTATCAAAATACTATCATATAAATATGGATTCCCCTGGTTTGTTTTATTTATTTTGGTACAACAAATCTGGCTTTCCATAGACAGGAGTTTCATCATGATTAAAAAGCTCTTACCTCCAGCCAACATTGCTGTAAGTACTATTCCACAGGACCAAACATCAACTGGTTCTGCATGAAATTCTTTTCTCTTTAGAAGTTCTGGAGCAACATAAGGTAAAGTGCCACACATCTTGTTCAATAAACGCTCACGATTATTATGCCGAAACACTGTTGCCAAGCCAAAGTCAGAGATCTTGAGGTTATCTAAACCAAAGGAAAAATGAATGGCACTTAATAAAGATGTTTTGTAAATAGATATACTTAAAGGAATTAAGTATTACTGGAAAATCACTGGTGTTACTTCAAGTTTGTAGAACTTTTCTACCTTAAAATGACAAAAAAGACATTTTAAAAGAAATAAAAGACATTTTCACCTAGCTAAACCTAGAAAAAGTCCTCAGAGCTTCTATTAACTAAAGAAAAATCATCAATACACAAAACAGTTTGGACCAGGTTAAAGACAATGGAGTCAAAAGGGGCTGTCCTTCTGTAAAAAGGGCACTATAGTCTTAGGCTGAAAGCACAGACAAGTCCTTCATCAACTTGTACAAAGGGCTGGAAGGAGACATCAATAACAAACCAGGTACAACTTTCTCAGCAGCAAACAAACCCACAGAGCAGGAAGAAAATATGTAAAGACATACCAAAACTAAAGATCCACAAACAGTTAAAATTTCGTGTCAAAGTGGCTAACTTTAGAAAAGGAGGAGGAACTACGCACAGAAAATAAACCAGAAAGGCAAATTTCCTCTAACTTCATCTTTAACACACACAAACTACAAGCAGAACTTTCAACTTACCCTGTGCTTAGTGAATATCCACCACAACTGACTGATGCTATGCTAGCCAATGCAGGTAAGTGAATTACTAAAGAAGATTAACAACAGACAACTCCTGGGAAAGTTACGAAAACATAGGATATTACTAGATCTTATAGCAAGGGAATCCAACCTAATCTTAGGAGTGAGAGAAGACCCCTATTATCAAGGTGTCAAATGGTATAACCTTTTTAGAGGGCAATCTATCAAAAGATGTCAAAATTGAAATATTCACTCTTTAAACTAGCAATTCCCGGGGCACCTCGGTGGCTCAGTCGCTTGAGTGTCTCACTTTGGCTGAGGTCATGATCTCACAGTTCATAGTGGGTTCAAGCCCTATGTCAGGCTCTGTGCTGACAGCTTGGAGCTTTGAGCCTGCTTTAGATTCTGTGTCTCCCTCTCACTGCCCATCCCCTCTTGTGCTGTCTCTCAATCTCAAAAATAAATAAACATTAAAAAAGAATTTTAAACTAGCAATTCCCATTTCCAGGAACACAAACACAGAAATAATCCCCCAAATTCACAAACACAAGGATATTCCTAGCAGTATTATCTGTAAATAGCTTAAATATCCAATAAAGAAATGGTAAAATCTTGTTACACATGTATGGAAGGAAAACTATGTAGGTAAGTTGTTTAAAAAAAGAAAAGGTCTATCTATAGTTCTGACACAGAATAAGGTATGAGTGGAAAAAAAAGGACAAGGGCCATAGCAAATACCCATTATAACATGACCCAAGTTTTATACAGGGACTGCGCAAAACTTTAGAACAGACATCACTGTTCCATTTTCTAAGCTAGAAACAACTTAAATGTCCTAAAATAGGGGACTGATTCTTTAAAATCAGGTATATATATATCCATACAATATGATATATAATCCATTGATAATGTTTACCTGTATTTGAATTGGGAGGTAGCTACTGTAATTATCCTTTTAATAGCTATACATGACACAATCTTGACAAACCACTGAGAGTTAGAATGCCAAGTTACTTCTATGTTACTAATCACTGAAAATACTAATGGATGACTGCAGCATTCCTCAGATTTTATTGTTTCCTTATGTCTGCAACATAACACTCAGGTTAGAGAACTGCATGTAATCAATTCTAAATTGAGGAGTGTGGTTATCTCTGAGAAAAAGAAAAGGGAATACATTTGAGAAGGCATACACAGGACTTGGACTATATTAGTAACATTATCTTTTTTTATTTATTTTTAAAAAATTTTTCTTTTTTAACGTTTATTTATTTTTGAGACAGAGAGAGACAGAGCATGAACGGGGGAGGGTCAGAGAGAGGGAGACACAGAATCTGAAACAGGCTCCAGGCTCTGAGCTGTCAGCACAGAGCCCGATGCGGGGCTCAAACTCACGGAAAGCGAGATCATGACCTGAGCTGAAGTCGGACGCTCAACCGACTGAGCCACCGAGGTGCCCCAGTAACATTATCTTTTTAAAAAAAGATTATTAAATATTGAATAGAAACAAAAGAATGTTTACAGAATATGCAGGATGTGAGCATATCCCATTTATCCAATACTCAATTTAAGAACATTCATATCTCCTTTGAAATCCCCTGTAATTAATTGGGGTGCCTGGGTGGCTCAGTCGGTTAAGCGTCCAACTTCGGCTCAGGTCATGATCTCGTGGTTTGGGAATTCGAGCCTAGCGTTGGGCTCTGTGCTGACAGCTCAGAGCCTGGAGTTTACTTTGGATTCTGTGTCTCCTTCTCTCTCTGCCCCTCCCCCACTTGTGCTCTGTCTCTATCAAAAATAAATAAATGTAAAAAAAAAAAAAAATTTGAAATCCCCTGTAATTACTTCCCTCAATTTATTTCTTTCTCTACCTTCTCATAAGTAACCACCATTCTGATTTTGGTTTTAATATGCTTTTTTCCTCTGTAATTTTTCCCATATTTGTTTATTCCCACATAAACAATATGTTTTATTTTACATATTTTTGAACTTCCTATAAATAGAATCATACTGGTATAAATACTTCTATGAAACTTATATCCATGTCATTACTTGTACCTATAAATTATCCATTTCATAATTTATCTATTCTATTGTTGACAGATATTTAGGTTGTTTCCAGTTTTTTTGCTATTATAAACACCACTGCTTCGAGTGGTATACATATGTATAATGTTTAATTTTTTAAACCAAGTTGTTACACAGGTGGTTGCTGTATTTTTATTTTATTATAATATGTATTATATGTTTTATATAATTTTTTATGTGCTTGAATTTATTTAAGTAAGCTCTATGCCCAATGTGAGGCTTGAATTCATCACTCTACAATCAAAAGTCACATGCTCTACTGACTGAGCCAGCCAGATGGGCCCCATGCCTGAATTTTTTTTTAAGTTTTCATTAAAAGTAAAGATTTTTACACTATAAATACAATGGAAAAGGCTGAAAAATAAAGTCCACATGCATGTTAAAAAAGCATATATCTTATGATCTAACTTATGTTAATACATATATGGGTAAAGATATATATGTCTCCTTTATCCTTACAACCCAAATAGATTCTTACTATCACCATTTTATAAAAGAAGGAAAGTGGGGCAGAGAGAAGGCAAGCAACTTACCCAAGGCCATACACCTACTAGGAGGTGGCCTAGATTAACCCTAGGTTCAAATGACTGTAAATCTCAAGCTGTTAAAAATATGCTATACTGCTTGTCACAGGTAGACACACAATTCTTCTTTCCCAGAGTGTTTTATTTAGCTAGAAACCTACATTTATTCAAAAAAGGACTTAATTTATGAAGAAGGGGAGGAATTGACTGTAATACCATCAAGGCTATTAGCATTCAAAAAGTAATGAAAATAGAATGATAAATGGAAGTTAAAAGAATTCTCCAGCATCTGAGACAAAACTTGGGAGAGAGGTACTGCCTGGGGCCTGGTCACAGAGAGTAAAAAAGCGGGGAGTGGACAAAAGCTGAAGACAGAGTGCTGGTGTGCCATTGCTGATCTGGGAGAACAGACTGGGTAGCTGGGCGGCGCCATTTTCACCGATCCCGCGCATACGCACCTAGGAGCGCGCAACAATCCACCCCAGTAGGCTAGCAGCGCCATCTAGTGGAGATCAGAGCTGATACACTGAGCCCCGCCCAACTCGGCCAACTTCATTCTTCAAGAACAAAAGTCTCACAGCCGGCTTAGTTTATGGAGTATAAAGAGCTATATAGACTGACTTCTAGGGGAAAATGAAGCAATTTCAGTCCTACTTCAATCTGTTAGCAGGTTCATCTATTCAATTTTCTTTCTTTTTCTTTTTTTCTCTTTTACACTTCTTTTCTTTTTCTTGAATACAGAAAGAGAAAAAATTCATTTTTATTTTCAAATTTATTAAAAATATTTTTAATTCTTATTACTATAGTTTTTACTTTTGTGTAAATTTTTTCAAATTCTATTTTACTTCCATCATTTTATTTTAATCTACTTCAGTGTATTCACCTTTTCAAATTTTCAAACAATTTCCTTTTTCTCTTTTTCATGAAGGCAGAAAGAGAAAAACTTCATTTTTACTTTCAATTTCTATCAAAAATATATTTTTTTAATTTTTTACTTCATTTTTCACTTTTATGTAAATTATTTCAAATTCTATTTTACTTCCATCATTTTATTTTAGTCTACCACAGTGTATTCACTTTTTCAAACTTTTAAACGATTTCCTTTTTTTCCTCTTTTTTCTCTTTTTCATTTCTTTTCTTTTTCTTGAATACAGAAAGAAAATT